TTTTACTACTGTTACAGTAATGGAATAATATTCGAATGAAAGCAAAGCAATAAATCAGATACTGCTTCATTGTATAAAACACTTTAAGAGTGAACTGGACCAAAGCTGGCCTATAAGTGGCCGGCAGAGGGAGTGTCTGCTTCCCCTATAATCAGAGGAAGCCCAGACAGCAGGACATTGACTTTCTATCTGTTTTCACACTGTGTCATGCATACTTAAATGTGCTGGTGAAAATTATTACTATTATTTCAATATAGGCAGATCATATGAGCATATGTCAAACACAAACAGAACAAAGTCAAATTCTTCTCACTGTACTCTTGTCATCATTCCTTGTTAACTCTCTTCTGTGAGCTGATAACAGAAAACAAGACATCTGCTACACAGAAGACTTCACGCTGAAACCACAGGCTGCATTTCCTCTTTACTAGGTGGCCCAAACAGACATCGTGAGGCCTTACAGTGTTAAAAATAAGCCCGTGGGAGAATAGTCAGTAACCACCAACAGTATTTTACACACATGTAGGCTGCTTAAAAGAACAAATACTTAATTCTGTAATGCCATCATTGCAGTTTGATGTTGTGTTATTCTTGCTTAAAGTTGCTTCATGGTGAAAATGTATCACTGTATTTCATTGCAGATTTGAATAGAATATAATTGTCAAGAATGTTTTGCATCTATCAACAATACAATATAGGTCCCTCTACCATCTGGCCTTTTCACTCTTGCTGCAATCCTAGCCTAGCTTCAACAACTCTTTTCCATTTCTTCATGGTGGCTCATCAACCGTATCTTTGTGGAGGTATCAGAGCTATGCACTTCACCCTTTTCTTCTCCATTCTTCATACATCCCCTCACTCTCTAAGATTGTCTAAACTATCATTTTCCCCGATTTGGTCGATCTAAATTTTTTATTAATATGGGTCAAATGTGACCTGGAACAACCTCAATATATCTAAATTTTAACAGGTCAAAAATCAGTCAAATTTGAACTTAACAATATGTTAAAAGCTACAAAGCACAGAGAGTTTATGTTAAAAAAAACAAAAAACAAAAAAAACACATACACATATGATCTTACTCTTACTTAATTTAAACAGCTCTCTCAACTGTACATTTTTTCTTCTTTTGCTTTGTACTGATGTCAGCTCATGCAGCAATTTACTTGATATGGTTATGGTCATCAAATAGCCATCTGTGTCCCCAACCCCCTCACAGTGTGTGGGTGATGCGCCGTTCACTTTGTGGTGGTTTTTTAAGGTTTGCTGTGACACTAAACACAGGAAATGACCCTTTAGATGGTTGATCTTAAGCAAAGCAAAATCCTTTGAATGAAAAAATAAACTCTAAAAACATGTGTTTATTTATTTATTTATTTTCACCAGTAACTCTAAGTGAGCTCAGTTTGACAAGAGGATTTTGCACAGACATGATTCGAGTTGTGCCTATGCCTCCTCCCCCCTGCAATAACAGACCAGCAGATGTCTGTGCCTGGAGATAAGATTTTTGTTGCACATAATTAACATAAAAGTAAATAATAATAATAATAATATATATATATCTATACACATATAAACATACATATATTTTGTATTGTATGTTTCGGAGTTATAGCTCCTGTTGCTCCTATTGCTGCTGAGACTACTTTCGACTTTATATTCCACATCTACTCCAGTTGCTCCTTCACGCCCTGGTATTTCTCTGTTTTCTCGTGCTCCTTCTTCCTACTGTTGCTGTCTGCTGGGTAGCCACATCTACCACAACTGCAGTCTACTGTTCCTTGTCTACCACCACAAAACTCCCCCATAAAGTGCACTGATGATTCAGTTCACTTATTAGCCTATTAGCTGTGACAAATAACAAACACACACTCATATAATATCAAATTAATTGCATGTTTACTCCTACAGAACTGTTCATATTTGGTCATTATCCATGAATATGTGACTAGCACTGTAAAAGAGGTTGTAGGATATAATATAATATAATATAATATAATATAATATAACATAATATAATATAATATAATATAATATAATATAATA